CTCTTTCCTTCCTTCAGTATTCACTTAAGCATTTTCATATTCCAGAACCTAAAAAGCCTCCAGTTTTTGACCAGCCTCTTCAGCCAGCAGCAGCAGAGGAAGGTGATACCCTACAGCTCAGCTGCCATGTCCAAGGATCACAGCCAATACGGATTCAGTGGCTGAAGGCAGGGAGAGAAATAAGAGCTTCAGACAGATGCAACTTCAGCTTTGCTAATGGAGTAGCTCTTCTGGAACTTGCTGCAGTTATCAAATCTGACTCAGGAGAATATGTATGCAAAGCTTCAAATGCAGCTGGCACTGATACTTGCAAATCTAAAGTGACAGTTAAAGGTACAGTAACAGAAAAAATCAAGGCATATGATGGAAATTTAAAACAAAATTCCATCCCACTTTGTTTTCTGTGAAAGAAAAGTTTTAGTAGCAAACAATTAGTATCTTTAATTCTTTGCAAAACATTACAATCTGGGAAGACAGTACATTTAACAATAATTTATATATAAACATCATAAACAGTGGCAGATCAATGTCAAATAAATAGTATATTCTTACTAAAAAGATTGAGAACTTATTTTCTGAATCTTAACACCAAATTTAAGAGAAATGGAAGCCAAATGAATGAAATCAATTGCACATGCATATTTTATAGAAAGGTTGGGAACAGTGCTGTTTATTAAAGGAAAACACAAAAGCAATTTGATTGGCTAATTGCTTCAGGACTGTTACTAATCTAAGACATTCTGACCTTTTAGCTGGAAGTAAATATTCACTAAGCATGATTCCCGCCATGTCTTACCATTGTATAAAAAACATAAGAGTTCAGTAATATATAGAAATATTATCTTTTTCACTACATAGGTAGTCACAAGGCTGAGTACTATGCAAAAGAAAACAAAACAGAATTTAACAGCTCACTGATAAAACAGTGCAGTAAGTCTGATGGTGAAATTTCCAAAAATAGACAGGAAAGAGAATATCTCACTAAAAACTGATCCATTTTAGAAAATCAGACTTCTTCTTTGTATATCCACCTATGAATTTGCACCGATGCAGAATATAAATGTCCTGACCAAAGTTAATTGACAGTACAATATCACTCACAGTAAAATATACATTACTTAAAATGAAAATATTTGCATTTTTATGTCATGTATAATATTTTGTTCCATCTTTGTAATTAATTACTTTTTTACAACTCCTCTGAAAGCATAATCATGCATGAACATAACTATTACATGTAACTATCTGTTTTTTAGAAAAAGCAGCAGCTGCACCAGCAGCTAAGAAAGCCGAAGTAGAAGGAAAGCTTTATTTTGTGTCAGAGCCTCAGAGTATCCAAGTCATGGAAAGTAAGAATGCTTTGCAAAATCTATGTTGTCTTCTATTTACCTATATCTTTTGTTTGAGGTTATGTTCTGCTGTCATAGACAGCTGGAAAGACTTAGCTTCCTAACTTGCATCTCTCTGCAGAGACTGTTGCAACATTTTTTGCAAAAGTTGGAGGAGACCCAATTCCAAATGTTAAATGGATGAAGGGAAAATGGAGGCAACTCAACCAGGGAGGTCGCATTATAATCCAGCAGAGAGGAGATGAAGCCAAACTAGAAATAAAGGATGCAATAAAAACTGACTCTGGCATGTACAAATGTGTAGCTTTTAACCAACATGGTGAAATTGAGAGGAGTGTAAACTTACAAGTTGAAGAAAGAAAGAAAGAAGTTGTTGAAGGGGATCTCAGGGCAAAACTAAAAAGGTATATGGAAAGATTTTGTAGATTAATTTGCCATCAACACAATAGAAACATTTTTTATTGTCTAACTCTGGTCAAGATAAAATTTTTAATTATTTGTTAAATATGAGTTACTACACTAAAATCAGAAACACCTGACTAGACTAAACTAAAGGATTTGACCATACAGGGCAGCTCTAAGCTGGTTGATTTTTTCAGTGATCAGTTTTCTAGGAATGAAGCATTGTATATTTAACATTTGTCATTAATTTGAATAGCACACCAACAAAAAGGAAGGAAGAAGAGGAAGAGCAACCTATTGATATCTTGGAACTTCTCAAAAATGTGGATCCCAAGGAATATGAGAAATATGCTCGCATGTATGGAATTACAGATTTCCGTGGCCTTCTGCAAGCCTTTGAGTTACTGAAGCAAACCCAAGCAGAAGAGAGCCATAGATTGGTAAGATAGAACGTGACTGCAGCATTGGCTTTGTTAGTAGTAACACAGTTTCTTTGAAGAGACCTGGTGTCTATGCCTTGATGTTACTGTGTGTGCAGGAATTTCTGGTTCTTCTTTAGATCTTTTACTTACTGTTCTTAATTTCTTGCATGCTCAAACCCAAGAAGAAGGAATAGGCATTTCTGTCTTCACGACTTGGCTGCAATTTTCAAGATGGGAAGATATGCTAGTTACAGTACAGTTACAGAAAAATTGATGTAGGAACTAATTATGTGTTGGATAAACAAGAGAACTTGACATTTAGAATCCTTTAGTCTTTAAGTATATTCTGCATTTTTACAGGAAATTGAGCTCACAGAAAAAGCTCGAAGAGAAGATCAGGAGTTTGATGAACTTGTAGCTTTTATTCAGCAGCGACTCTCACAGACAGAGGTAAAAAGTTTTGACTGATATGTGAAATATTCAAACACATAACAGGGAACTTGAAATTAATTCAAACTAATATTTTTCAGCCCATTACTCTGATCAGAGACATTGAAAATCAGACGGTTTTAACAGATGAGGATGCTATATTTGAATGTGAGATTAAAATTAACTATCCAGAAATTAAACTTTCCTGGTACAAGGGAACCCAGAAACTTGACTCCAATGACAAATATGAAATTAGAATTGAAGGTGATCGCCACATACTGAGAATCAGGAACTGCCAACTTGAAGATCAGGGAAATTTCAGAATAGTGTGTGGACCACACATTGCCAGTGCCAGGCTAACTGTGATTGGTAAGTGTACTTTCGAAGTACGTATTTAAATTATTTTACACTTTATTTATTCCATTGTTGATGTCTTCTAAAATGTATGTTTTAACATGCTAATAGAACCTGCAGTTGAACGGCATCTTCATGACACTACTTTCAAGGAAGGAAACATATGCACGCTGTCTTGTCAGTTCTCTATCCCAAATGCCAAGTCCCAGTGGTATAGAAATGGGAGACCCATTAAGATAGGAGGGAGATACTCAACACAAGTCTCTGACAAAGTACACAAACTCATCATCAAGGATGTTAGAACAGAAGACCAGGGACAGTATACCTGCAAGCTTGACAATCTAGAAACAACTGCAGATCTGGCCATTGAAGGTTTGTAAACAGATATAGAATCTCTTCATTACAGTAGAGATAAACAGTTTCTGGATGTTCCATTAACAGAACAAATGAAAGTAAAGAAATTTCTTAAAGAGAGCTTCCCAAACTTCGAAATGGACTGAACAAGAAATTTAGCTGTCTTTTCTCTTTGAACAATATGTGACATGCTTGGATAAATTGGTATTTTTAACTAAATCATCATTACTAATGTCCCCTAGCCCTTAAACAGTCAGATTCATACTCGCTTTTATTTTCTTATTCTCTGATACTCTTATATTTTCCTTGGAATTCTTCTTTTTCTTAATTATTCTTTACCTTTAATTTCCTTAATGGCTTCTCTTGTAAAATTTATCTGTACCAGTCTTGTTATAGTTGTACTCTTATGTCTTCTGATCTTCATTCTTACATAGAAAACTTAGAAGATGGATACCTTTTTCTTACTTTACTTTTTGAAGACTTATTGTTATTATCTCTTATTATAATGTAGCTATTACTATGAAAACAATGAGAAGAAATAAGATAAGCTAAATGGCCTGGCAGTTCATAATAATATATCTTTCTTTTTTTTTCTAAAAACAGCGGAACCAATTCAGTTCACAAAGAGTATACAGAACATTGTAGTGAGTGAACACCAGTCTGCAACCTTTGAGTGCGAGGTGTCTTTTGATGATGCAGTTGTGACATGGTATAAAGGACCCACTGAACTGAGAGAGAGTCCTAAGTACAGCTTCAGAAGTGAAGGTCGCTGTCATTATATGACTATTCACAATGTTACTGCAGAAGATGAAGGTAAAAATGCATGGGATATTTTTGCTGACACCATTCTTTTATCTGATTTTGTTGTCTAGGTTTTTAGTGCTAAATAATGCATATAAATATCAACATTCTTGGCTATTGCAGGTGTATATTCTGTAATTGCTCGTCTTGAACCAAGAGGAGAAGCAAGAAGCACCGCAGAGCTCTATCTAGTAACAAAAGGTTAGCAAATTTGCTAAACAAGTTTGTGATCATAGCCATCTGCAAACTTTTGAGTTTGAAATGTCATTCTGGAAAAATAAAGAGTCCTAAAAGAAATCTAATATTCTTTTTCAGAAATCAAACTGGAGTTGAAGCCACCAGGTAAAGATCATGAGCAAGACCGTCACAGGATTGTGTCTAAACTCACATTTAGTGCATTTATTTTTTGCCTTTTGTGCTTTATTTTATATTTTAAAATCCTTTTTTTGAGGTTACAGTAAGTCAAACCTACACCCTGAAAGAATATTCTTTATCCATAGATATGAGGAATTATTTATTCTCATAAATAGTTGCAATGAATACTATGATAATTCCAAAATCACTAATAATAATGTGCCTGGGGTTCTATTTTGTGCAATATGGGAAGCCACATTCTCTAAAAAACAATCTTGTTTGTTTGTTTGTTTGTTTGTTTGAGTGACTGAGGAATAGAACAATTAAGAGGTACCAATGAATAGATTCATTGTCCTCTGAACAACTGAGAAAAAATAACTAAGGAGGAAAAATGGGTAGTAATCATCTCCTTATGATGTAGCATCTTCTCTTCTGAATGTTCTTAAGAGCCTACTCCAAAACAGTGCAAGAATTATTTAGAAATTAAATGAAACAGTATAGGGTCTGGCCAGACTGAAAGATTAATGCAATTAGTTATCTATTCATCAGCTAGGTTATTCTTGAGGAGCAAGCTACAATCCTGCTATACTAGAACAGAAAGGTTAAAGCACTACAAACTACTGTTCTTGGGGACAGCATAGTCAAATCTAATTTTTCCTATTAAGTCAATTAAACATTTTGATTTTCTAGATGTTCCTGATGCCAAGGTCGCAGTTCCACCTCAAAAAACAGCTGAAGGTAGGGTAACAAACCATACTTCTTCAGTAGTGCAGAGTTTTATATCTGTACTGAAGCAGCAGGCCAGTGGGAACCTCAGAGAAAAATCTTAGACAGCTCAGTGATAATATCTAGTTAGTTGTCTCTATACAAATATGATATGAGCAAGTCTTGTCTTGGGTAGGCCTGTTTTGCTGTGTGGAATGTGAAGAGCATATGCAGGTAGTTATAAAGTTTGTATAAAGACAAACAAAAGAAGTTTGTCCTTTCCATCTTGTTTTCATATCAGTCTTGTTCATTCCATCTTGCTTTTATTTCCATTTTTCTCTTTTTATTATTCTTTATTTTCAACTCTTCTTCTTTTCACTACAGAAATATCTTTTAAACAAGCTGTCTGAATTTTTACCCTCTGGAAAAAAAAGGGGAAAAAAAAAAAAGGAAAATATAAATGCTCTTAAAGCCGTGCAATGGATTGCATGTTTATTGCAAATGATCTCTCCCCAGGCTCTGATACTGGACTACAGACTGCAAACTTTACGTATATTTCTGTTACACTCAGTAGTTTATTACAAACTTTAGAAGTTCAATCTTTTTTTTTCATTTCCAGAAAAATTTGGTAAAATGTTTGCAGTGGCAACAAGAGGGGAAAGATTTAATATGTAGATGAATTATTATCAACAAAGATAGGAGAGTGAGGACAGCTAAAAAAATAATGCTAAGAAGGGTTAGGGCTCAAGTTAAGGTGCACTGGGAATTGCCACTCAAAATATATTCTTCCAGCTACAGTAAGCTTTCAGAATAAGCAACATGTTTGCTTTTGTTCTGCAGCTGCAATAAAATAATCTCATCTATTTTCCAAATGCACTAGGATTTTTATTCCTTTACAAGAAACATCATACTCACATTTTATTCTAAATATTTAATTTTTCCTACAAGCTGCCCCTATTCCTATTCTTCTGCCTCTTGTTCCACCACCAGAGGAGAAAAAGCCAGGTACGAATACTTAAAGTATTTGGACACTGTGTACATATTTCATTATGACTTGGTTTAATTAAAGTTGTCTTAAATAAATTGTTTTTAATCAGAAAAAAAGGTTCCAGTAAAGAAAGTCTCCAAAAAGGTGGTTAAAAAAGGTCCTGAAAAAGTCCCACCACCTGAAGGTAAACTTTTTATCTTTTTTTTATAACTTTTCAAAAAATAGTAAGATTAACTTATAGAAACAAGGTCATTTGTTTCAAGTTACCTTGAATCAATCAAATCTGTTTGATTTTATCTCTATGTTAAAAAAATACACATTTAAAATCTGACCTGATTAAAACTGCTTAAAAAATAATCACTTCCTTAAACCATCTGTGAGGGCAAAATAATTTCATTAACTGTGAATATCCAATACACCCTGCAAATACCAAGTTATGATATGCATAATCTATTTTTTAAAATATTTTAAGTTCCTATGGTGCTGCCAGAGAAGCCCAAAGAGATCAAAATAACTTCCATGGCAAGGAGAGAAGAGATTCATGAAGAAAAAAAGGAAATATATGATAAGCCCCAAGAAACTTATGAGGAATGGGAGGAAGATTATGGAGAAGACCATGATTATTATGTCAAGGAAGAAGGCTATGATGAAGGGGAAGAGGAATGGGAAGAAGCTTATGAGAAAAGAGAAGTGACTTATGAAGAAAAACGAATAATTCATGAAGAAGGTATTTTAATTATCATACCATTTTATTTCTTCTCTTTTCTCATATTTATTATTAAGCTGCAAAGTTTTTGATCCAAGCAGTATTTTTTGAATTTTTTTGGTTGGTTGATTTGTTGGGGTTTTTTTGTTAAAATAACTTGAACCTTAATATGCTGCTAAGTTTTAACTGGCACTTGATAATAAGAGGAGGGCTCTAGTATAGCAAAGTATAGATGCAGATAGAAATTGATCCACTATCATTTTAGTTGCCAATGGACTTTGCAGATTGGGGCATCTTTAAAACCTAATACATGTTAGTAGTTCGTAAAGTTATGTGTAATTTTATGTTGTTTTGGATATTTCTTCTATCATTATCATCTATTCTGGAAAAACTTGATGTAGGTTAAATGTTTGACACATTAATTACTTCATGTTAATAGCTGTATTTTGAAATTCTTTGCATGCAAGAATTGGGTAGTAGTAACATGTATGCCTCTAGGAACAAAATTTGGCTTTGATAAGAAACCATCAAACTTGAAAATAAGCAGAAGATTTTGCTGCAGCAATCTGATCTCCAAAACACTGTGTTTTTTTTCAACTTCGTAAACTTATAATTGTGTAACTAATAACTTTTGAGTGTACTGAGCCTTTACACAAGACATTTTTCATCATTAAGCAATGTCATTACTTTTAAAGTGGTTGAAGTTCCTAAGAAGCCTGTGCCTGAGCGAAAACCACCAGCCATTACAGCTGAAAAGAAGGAAAAGAAAGAAGTAACAGTTCGTAAAGGTATGCCTTTCCTGCAAAACCAGCAGGAACATGCAGATTAAGATCTCTCATACATTTCCTTCAAGCTGAACTGTAGTGGTTATTCATATTTCTATGAAAATGAGAGAATTCTCTTTATGTTGGACCGTGACATGAGCAAGGCTCATGGCAACCCTTCCTCTTCTTCAACCTTATATTTTCAAGCAGAGAGAGAATAGTGGCAATGGTGATTGAAACAAGACAAGACTTCCTGGCAAAATCAATCTGAGCTTCAGTTATCTTTCCTTCTCACTGTATATTAACCACGAGCGTGCATGAGGCCTTTGAGACAGTGAACACTGTACTTTTGAGAAGTGTCCTCCGTTTAGATCACTGTATACCTTTCAGGGGAGGGTGAGCCTTTACCACCACTGTTCACCACCAGTGAACAACGTGCTGAACAATGTACAGTATGCACATGGGTTATAACATCCTAGACAACAAAATAGCCAGTTCTACTTGGTTTGTATAAAGAAAATAATTTGCAAGAATATTTAAACAATAAATATCTCTGAATCACTTATAGTTGTCAAGAAACCTGTTGATGAAAAAGTAGAGATAACCACTCAGAGGGTTGCAGAAGAAAAGGTCAAACGAGCTGAGGGTAACTACTGTTTAATTATCTTAATACCATCTTTACATGAAAGTAATTGTTACTTAGCTAATCTGCATATGCTTTATATTCATTTAAAATGAGTCTGATCATTTTTTCAGTCTTTGAAACATCTAATAAAAGCTTCTGCTGAATTGTCTAAAAGGAATATGAAAAGCCTTTTAGGGGAAAATACTAAGTGCCGATGTTAACTACCAATGCTTTAAGAAAGGAAGTGAGTGTAAAATTGTGGTGGGTGAAATGGTATGTTTCGTTGCAAACTGAAGATGTGAAATCCTTATCTTCCTCTGAGTTCCATCTTGACCTGTCTACCAGGTTCCCTTTGGTTAATTGTTCAGTTATGGACCAAAGGTGTATCCTTATTCTCTTGCTAACCATCTCCTCTTGTATAGCATTTCTCATTTTCCAGCAAGTTTGTTAACTGCAATTCAGTATATGTCAGGATATGACCTGTGTACTAAACACCCTGCATTACCCAGCATCTTTAGAAGCAAACACATACCTTCTGCTGCTTTGCATGGTTCCAAGGAGCTTGATTAACTGCTGAGTTAGATAATATTTGTCTTGATGTTTTTTCAACACCATTCCCAGATAGCTGTAGACTTATTTTGATCTCTTTGCTAAATATATGACTGAGTAGCAAAATTTTAACGCCAACAGTTACCAAGAAAGTTCTACCATCAAAACCTACACCAATGATCATTGAGGAAAAAGTTATGAAAAAGGAAGGTACAGATCAACCACTTTCAATTTCAATTGCAGTTTACATTTTTTTCAGCACCCTGTGTGTTCTTGTGCTTCTTGTGAATACATGGGCTGGTGTGTATGTACCTGGATCTACACTACTAGTCATGCTGTGACTTGCCTCAGTGTTTAAATCTTTCATAAAGTCTGTTTTTAACATGTTTGTGACTAGCCTTTTGATTTTTGTTTAAACTGCCTACAGCACTGTGATTTGCCTTCTTCTTCAACTATTCTGCCTACTAGCCTATGTTTACACCATAATCACCCAGTGCCCCGAAATTTCCTTGAAGAACCAACTTTGGAATTCTTCTGACATATTATTTCCAAAAGCCTATGCATGCATTTATTTTAAATTTTCAAATTAAAGATGTCTGTATCTTTAGTCTTTAACAGATACTAAATATTATGCTTGTATGCTTGTTTTGTGTGCAGTATTTCAGAATATGAATACTGACTGTCTAAATATGTCTAAGACTTAAATGTGCAACACAGGTACAGATTTGATAAAAACTCACATGTTGACTACCACTAATGTGGATCTAGAATATAAAATACTAAAACAAAATCCTATCTTTAAAGTACCGACAGTAGAAACATGGACTGTTTCAGAAGAAAAGATGTCGGTTTCTGTCCACAGAGAAGAAGAGTATTCATATGTAACAGGTATGTACAAAACCAAAAATCTGTGTACCCAAATTAAAACAATCTTTCAATCCTACTAGATTTTTCTTAATCAATTTTAATGTATAGCAAATCACATATTTAGACACATCATATATTTGTCTTTCAATATGCATTGCTTCTTTTTGCTCATTGTGTTATGTAGCCTCAGTTTTCTTTAAATTATTAGATGTCAACATTTCAACTATTTTATCTTAACATTGTTTAAATGCTTTTCTTTGAAGAGCCAACAGAGCATGAGAAAACAGTTGAAGAAAGATTCTTTGAAGCTGTTTACCCAATTGAAGGTAGATTGATTAAGAATAAGAGGCTATTCAATATTTAAGATTTTAAAAACAATTTAAATCTGCAGTTAATCAAAACTCAGTATAAGACTTGCACATGCTGTTGTTTTTCTGAAGGAAATATTTTACATATTAGCATATGTGTTTCACTGACACTTGTGTACTGGAGACACATAATATCTCCATAAAAGCTTTTAATATTTACTACAGACATTGATATTTCCTATCTCCAAATTTAATATCTTTAAAATTCTTATTGTAGCACATAAGGAAGTTGAAGAGGAGGAGGAAGAAGAGGAAGAAGTAGAAGAAATTTCTACAGAACTGGAGATCCCTCACATTGAAGGTGAATAAAATCTTTATACCATCATGTGCTCCATTTTTCTGAAATTTCACATTATCTGCCTGTACCACTCTTCACCAAAGGATAGCAAATCAGAACTCAGATCTTTCCATCTTTCTATGACTCTACTTTCAAAAGTTAAAACACTGCTGCATTTCTAAATATAATCTTTCTTCATCACTGCTTTAAATAATTCTTTGAATAGCTTTATTTTTTTGAGAAAGGCATATTGTATCTGTTCAATAAAACACCATATTTTTTGACATAGTGTTTGCTTACCCAGTGTGTTGAAAGTAGCCTACTGTGATTTACCAAATATTTTTACTGTCACCTAAGTGTTCACCAACTATGTCTTTAAAGTGCCTGAGATACCAAAGAGGCATGTTCCAGAAGAAAGAAAGCCTGTTCCTGTCCCTGTTCCTAAAAAAGAAACTCCACCAGGTAAATTTACTTAAGGTATTTCTACTGCCCTCGTAAAAAAAAAAAAAAAAAAAAAAAAAAAAAACAACAATTTTATTAGTGTTTTCTATCCCCCCCGGAAAAAAAAAAAAAAAAAAAAAAAACCCACACAAAAACGCCAACTGAATGACAAAGGAAGACTTTCATTATACTATTCTTCATGTTTTCTTGAATATATTTATTAATTTACTCTCTATGTGCCTTTGGATTTGCATTATTTGATTTTGCATTAACTCCATTACCTCCATACTGTCACTTTTTCCTTAGTGCTATAACTTAGCTTACTATAAATTACTATAACTATAACTTACCTTTGCCTCAGCTTTGGCCTTTGTCCTTCCTAACAGTCTTGTGCTTGTTGTTTGTATTTAGACTGTCGGCTTTGGCAGACAAGCTTATGGGTGTTTTTACTTTGAATGCAATGAAAGGTAATAGTGCAGAAATGTTAACACTGGAATTTTATACTGCATCATAGCGTCTTTCCCCTATAGTCCACTGTATGTTCAAAAGGTTGTACATTGTATTGTGTTACAGTGGCCAGTTCCTTGTCCAGACCCTATGTTCTGTAAAGCAATCTTGGATTAGTGAAATCTGGATAAGTGATCCAAAAACTAAAGCTCTCTCACTTTGACAGTATTTTCCAAAGTGCCTGAAGTTCCTAAGAAACTTGTTCCAGAAAAGAAAGTTGCTGTTGCTAAAAAGGAGGTGGTTCCCCCGGCAAAAGGTACAGCATCTTTTGAATGTGGGCTTTAACCAGTCCTGTACTACTGTGTTGTTTTCCTAACTTCTATTCACTTCTCAGTATGAGCATATGATAAATGTAGACCTTGTGTGTTATGTTGTGTGTCTGTTCTCATCTAAGACAAGCCCAAGTCTTAAACAAATTTTAATATCTTTAAAGTTCCTGAAGTGCCTAAAAAACCTGTGCCTGAAGAAAAAGAACATGTTCCTGTTCCCAAAGAACCTCCACGAGTCAAAGGTATACCTACTGAAGTACATGTACTTGTTGAATATCTTTCTAATTATTTTTGTTACCCTGTATGTAAATGGGTTTGTGTTAGAAACTGATCCTTCATGTATAATTATCTGTGTATATAACAGGTTTTTAAGGCCAGGTAACATATTCAAGCTGCTCTTTCTTCAGTTAAGAAATCAATTTTAAAGCACTTGATAGGCTTCCAGAGACTGGTTTGTTTGTTTGGGTTTTTTTTCCTCAAATATATGTTGCTTTTGTCTCATACCCATCTATGTTAAGTGTATGAACGTGTTATGTGGTATGTCTTGATATTCTTATAAATGGATTAATGCAATTCTACAATACTCCAATAAACCTTTGAAATACAGAATTCAGTTATCTTACATTTTATCTTTTCTAAATGTCAGACGTGCCTAAGAGAGTTCCTCCAGAGAAAAAAATTGCTGTTCCCAAAAGAGAGGAAGCTCCACCACCTAAAGGTACACTTAAATAAATAACATTCTTTACTTGTTATCTTAAACATCTTGTTTATGTCCAATTTTGGTTTTGTGAATCTGGGTTTAACTGTGTTTTGGTTACATTAGCTATGTATCTTTTGTGTCAGTTTTGTGGATAGCTGTGCTATAGATGCAGCCCTAAACCATCTGTAATTTTAGCTACTTAATATTGTTATAATTCATATCTCTGAAGTGCCAGAAGTACCTAAGAAGCCAGCTCCAGAAGAAAAAATACCACATGTTCCTAAAGTAGAAGAAGCTCCACCTGCAAAAGGTAAAATATTATTCACTATTATGTTGTTTATTGTAGTCTAGAATATTGCATTTGTCTCAGCTTGCTCAGCTGTGGCGTTTCATAAGCAAAATATGTCCATATGTAATCTTTTTAAATGATTCATTTCTGTTACGTGATGCTTTTCCCAGTTTTGCACTTTAAAGCTCCTAAAACTAAATACTTTTTTTAAAGTGCCTGCAGTTCCTAAGAAGCCTGTCCCTAAAGAAAAAGTATCTCCTGCTGTTCCTAAAAAAGTTGAGGCTCCTCCAGCTAGAGGTATGCTTTCCAGTAGAAGGAAAGAAGATGCTGTTTCTCAGCTTCTGTTTATATGTTCTGTATTGTTATCAGTCAGTGATTTGTGCTTCCCCTGTGAATTCTGCTGTTCTGATATAGTGGCAATGAATCTTTACAGTGTGTTGTATCTGTTGTGCAATACTTAAAAATATATATTTGTAAATATTGAATCTCTATTACATGTTATGTGCTCAGTACCCTTAAACAATTCTTTGGAAACTTAGATTTAGCATTGTGCCACATTGCTTTCACAATGGAATTAGAAAAGCGTTATTATCTTTCAAAGTGCCTGAAGTGCAGAAGAAAGCCACTTTTGAAGAAAGACTGCTTATTACAGAAGAAAGAGTCTCTGTTGCCATTCCAGAGGAAATCCCACCACCTGAAGGTACACTATAAAGAGACACTAGTGAAAAACTTGTGTTTTGTCTGCAAGTCTGTTGTTCTAAGACCAAGATCAAAATACACACCCAAAAAAAAAAAAGCCAAAAAAACCCCACAAAACCAAGAAAACAACCATACACCTGTATGAGTTTTGTGTTGAACATTTTACAGACTTGCAGACAACTAGGAGCATCCTGAGTGCCATTTACCATTTCAGTCTTGAATGCCAGGATCACACCCCTTTGACATGAATGGAAACTCTACCACTGAATACACTGATCTTCAGATCAGACGCTCATGAAATTATAGGAAGAAGTATGGGTGTTGAGTGTTCAGATTAGGCTCTGCTAGTTAGGACTGTAACCATCCATTTGTCATACTCCCCACAAAGCGCTCTGTAGCCCTGCAGATAATCATACTATTTCTTTCTGCAGTGTTTGATTCTTATCAACTCTTCTAGTTCAAATTATTATAGTCAAGGAAGGTTGAGATTAGTCGTTTTAAGTTAGTATAATTCCACAAAATATCTACTTCAAGATAGATGAAATCTAAATTTTGACCATTTTTATATCCCATTATTAACTAGCCAGTCAAGACAATTTGCATATTCTATTAAAAAGCGTAGATGAGTTTTTAAAAGCAGATATCTAAGTTATATATCTAAAACATGAACATGCAAATAGGAATTCATATGGATACAAGCAGTGATAATTTCTGTCTCCATCGAATTAATCTTCTACCCCAGAACAAGTTGGTGTTTTCCCTGATACAGTCACGTTTGTAGATGTGCGCACACTTAACTTCCTTTTCAGTTCTTGACCTATCCTTTTCATCTTCTTCCTGTCCTTCTTACTTCCATGTAACTGGATCATGGAGCAACCTCTAACTCTTTGACTGTTGTTTCCCCCTTCAGCTGTTGTGAGGGGGAAGTCTGGGGAGCTGAAGCATTCTGATGGACTGACATCAGATCAGTGAAGGATATTTGAGAGATAAAACAGCATACAATAGGGTATTTGGGGCATGGACAAAGCACATCATTTAGAACAAATCATACATATGTGTGTGCACAGCACTTTCTGTATTGTATGTGTATCTGTCATTGTCATATAGAACTTATAAGAATTGGTCTTCATCTTCTCCATCCATTGATCTGTCCCTCCCTCCCTCCATCCACCAAAAATACTGAAACTAATAATTTTCTTTAAAGAACCAACAATTGAAGAATGGGCTGAAGAAGAAATGGAGGAAGTGTCTATTTCCATTCACAGAGAAGAGGTTTCTGAAGGTACGATCATAAATCAGGAATACTAGGCAAACACAAAAATTTTTGCTTTGTACCAAAAATAGTGTGGATTAATATCTACTCTATTCATAAAGAAAAGTTTACTACTACATAAATATGCTTCAGAGCTTGCAAACTTTAATACTAAGAATGTTTGTAATTTCTATTACTTGCTTTTGAAAAGTGTAGTAGTTAATCCTGTTTTAATATAGTGAAAATAATGAGGTGTCTCTTTGATGTAGAGAATTATCAGCCCTTCTAAAAATTCTGTTGGAAGTTCCTCTTCCACCAGGTTGCCTGGATGAAGTAAAGGTCCTTCAGAATATCATGGTGCACTCTGTTTCCTTAGATCATTTCATCATAAAATGACTAAATTGTTTCTACCTGTAAGTTTATTGGTGGTAACATAATACTGTGAAGGATGGTAGCATACACTGATTGACTCAATTTCTGGTACAAGTGACACCGTGGGAAGTATTTTCAATGGATGGCTTTTAGACAAGGAATTTTCTCGGTATTAGGGAAGAGAGGCTTTCTCAAAGCTAACATATTCCAGCAGAAGTGAACTAATGTCCAGAGGAATGGAAAGTGCTGATCTCATATTTCAAATGCTGAGCATTTTCAGGTACCACAGAAATACAAGATGAGAGAGCAGTCTCAGCTCCATTTAAGTTACTTGGAGTTTTTCTATTGGCTTCAGAGGGAGCAAGATGATTTTAAGCACACTGTTTATTCTTGTCTTACAAATACTTTGTTGCTTACCAGGCCATACAGACAGTGCTAGACATCAAATATTTAAACTCAGATGTGTTTGTGCTTTGTTTTTGTTTGTTTGGTTGGTTGGGTTTTGTTATTATTATTTTCTTTTACTCTTTTTAAGTGACTGAAGAAGAGTCTTACTACATAGAGGAGAGGGTAACTGTTCCAAAAAGAGAGGAAGCCCTCCCCACTAAAGGTATATGTTCTTTTCATTACAAAATATTGGTTGTTTCTTCATTCTGAACATTATGTTGCTACTATATCTTTATTTCTATTTGTGCTTTTTTGTATTAGGGAAATGTCTACATGTTATAGTGATACTACTCTTCTTTGTAAAACTATGTGTTGTAAAACTATGTATTGTAATCTTTTAAAGTGCTTGAGAAGCATAGGAGAGTTGTCCCTGAGCCAAAAGTTCCAGCTGCCCCTAAGGAAGCTCCAGGAGTTAAAGGTACAAACCAGTTCCTCATCTGGGTGATGTCTCTTCAAGGGCATTATGTTTGTCTTACTGTCATGTTTGTAAGTGTTGACATGGGTAGTGTCTGCTCCCAGTGATGAACATCTTGTATTCCATCTTATACTATGAAATGTGTTGTTTGTGTTAACTCAGTAAAACTCATTGTGATGTAGTAAACAATTACAAATATTACACCTTAATATTCTTTCTCATCTTCCTTCTTATCTTACTAATTTTTCTGAAGTTCCTGAAGTTCATAAGAAGGCAGTTCCTAAAGAGAAAGTACCTGTCCCTGTGCCTAAAAAAATTGAGGTTACACGAGCAAGAGGTATAACAGTGGGTTTTTTCCTGTTTTCCTGTTGCAAAAAATGCTTTTTTTGCTGCAGTCTGTCTTTAACATACATGTATGTTGATAAAACATATATGTCATATATCAAATTTCTTCAACATTAAACATATACTTACGTCCATTTGTGTATAATGTGGCCTGTGTCATCTGGAGATTTATGTGTTATTTAATCTTTTATCTTATGCCTCTCTGTGAAATCAATCACATTTTCTAAAGTTGCACAATCTTTTTTAAGAACCTGCAGAAGAACGGGTGCCCACTTTTGAGGTAGAAGTTGAAGAACCTCCATCAACCAAAGGTAAACAAACTGAGAATGTAATTATAATTTTTTATTAGGCCTTCCAGTATTTGTGTGTAGTCATTTTAATTAAATAAATTTTTGTTTGTTAATATCTGTAACCTCTGTCTGGATGTCCTCTTTTTTTTACTATTTACTCCTTTTTGTGCTATGGCTGTAAAGTAGACTCTTCTGCAGTGTCTCATTTTTGTTGGTGTTAAAGTTTACTTAGCATTTTCTTTTTAAAAACATCAGACTAAGTAGAAAAAACTTACATATTTCCGCATTTCAAATATTGCAATTAAATATTCTTACACTTATTATTTTTAAGTGACTGAAGTGCACAGGAAAATTATCACAGAAGAAAAAGTTGCAGTTGCTAAAAAAGAAGAAGCTCCACCAAAAAGAGGTATATAATTTTTCAGAGCTACTCAAGAGAAGTCTTGTTTCAGAATACTGATTTATTATTATAATGTCTTATTGTCTAACACAAGCTGTAATGTTCAGTGTTTGCTGTCATTTTTTTGACCTGAAGAATTGTCTCTGCATTTGTGTTTTGTCATCTGATTATGTTCATAAACTGTGATTAAATCAAAATCTTTTAAGTTAAACTTTTTCTTTAAAAAATGCCAGCAGTGCCCAAGAAGCCTGTGCCAGAAGAGAAAGTACCAGTTCCAATTTCACGGAAAGTGGCAGCTCCACCAGCTACAGGTACACAAGTTCTTTTGAAAGTAGAGACAGCTTCTAAATATCAGATGTTCATGTACCTCATACTCACCACCTGTCTGGTTAATCAAATACCAGTTTCTCCTGTTCTGACTATAAATGGAAAGGACCTTTGTCTTCTCCCCTGCCAAAGAAAGCAGAAGGTGATGGAGAACAGTCACACACCTGCATTCCTTGAATTTAGTAACCACTAATTAACTTCATTGATCACTCTGGCTGCTTAAGAACTTTGGAAAGCTGAGTGAAGACATTTATTCAGTGAAAAAAAATCTATGTTTTATAACAATCAATATTCAGGAACAGTTTTCAAACTTACAAATAAGTCCTCTGTTCCTGTGATTTTCTTGTGCTTGAAAGTCATTTTGTTATGTGTCCTCTTTGTGTGGTGTTCTGTGGATTAATTACATTTCTGAAGAGCCTAGAGGCAATTAATTTACATCTTACTTTCATCTCAATCATTCCATGCTACTTCATGACGTATGAATATGCTGTTTGCTTTTTGAAGTGTTTTGGTCTATATACCTATGATGGTGTGTATTTTTTAATAGGTATTATTTTAAGATATAACTATATTTCAACTGTTAATAAAATTGTATGGTGTTTCAAAGTGCTTAATTTATCTGGGGAATTTATTCCTGGAACCCCCCCAGATTATTAGTCCTGAAAATAATTAATGCATATCTTGTTGCTGGTCATTTTCTCTGTTAATTTAAATGTCTTTATGTTTGGTGTGATTGTTGTGTTTATTATAAGTATCTTTGCTATGTAAATGTGTACTATTTCCCCATAATTGTTTGTCTGCAATTCATTTTTATGAACTTCAGAAAGTGTGTGACTTCTTTTAGTATTTAGTATTCTTACAATCAATATCTTTAAAATGCCAGAAGCACCAAAGAAAATTGTCAGAGAAGAAAGAGTATCCATTGCTGTTCCAAAAAGAAAAGTGTCTCCACCACCAGAAGGTACTCCTGCCCATGGATTAACCTATGAATAGAATGTCCTCATGCAATACCACCAGAGCCTCAAGCCTGCTGCTCTGGCACCGTTCTTGAAGTTCTAGTGTTAGAATCATAGAAACAATTAGGTTGGAAAAGACCATTAAGGTCATCGAGTCCAACCTTTAACCTAATACCACCAAGTCCACCACTATGTTCAGACCTGTGCCAAGGGAACCTTAACAAGGCTTTGAGAAACACTAGAGACATATTTTTCCCAATTACTCTGGGTGTGGAAGGTGTCAGGAAATGATAACTAGTTTTCTAATAAACCCCAAATGGAGTATTTCTTATTGTACATGATACTGCATCAGAGTTAAACATTAACGTTAGACTCTGTGTTTGAAGTACCAACAGAAGAACAACACTGGGCTGTGTCAGAGGAAGTATCCATTTCTCTTCACACAGAAAAGGAGATTTCATACACAGGTATGAACAGAATGAAAAGATCCTATGTTCAAATGTACACCTTTTAAACTATTAAAAAAAAAAAAAAGAAAGAGACAACAAAACACAGTTTCATGCCCTGTGCAGATCACCAGTTTATCCTGAAAGTGGAGCTTGTAGAATATCACAGAAAAGTATTCCATTCTCATGAAAGGCTTAAATCTTTCGTCCTGGTTTACTCCTGTTGTCATAGAAGAAGCCTAACCATTTCACTAGGTCCTCGTTTGAAAATCTTGTCACCTGTCTGGCCTTTGAGGGGAAACAAGGTAGCCTTTTCCTTCATTTATACTAACA